AACCGGGTCAAGTACTTACCAAATATAGTTATGGGCTTAGACACTAATCCAACATAATGATGAGGACTTATAAACATTTGCAACAAAATGATGATAAGAGAAAGTTGTACCTTCATCCTTTATAGCACCATGAACCACTGAAGAGTTGATTTGATTGATCGAAGAAGAAGATGTCAGATTCTGATTGTTAATGAGTTGAACAAGATGTTCATACTGTTCCATGTGATTGAGGGAGAATTGGATGTCGATACAACATTTTGAACACTTGATTTTTGATCATCCTTCTTTGATTTGGTGAATTTGAATGAGGAAGGAAAACCAATTAAACGATAGCAATTGGTTTTCGTATGACCTGTCTTCTTGCAATGAGTACAGAGAAGCGATTTCTTTGGGTTTGAAACTGATGATTCATAATTAACATGCATTGCAATTGCATCATTGTTTATGATCGAAGGAATTGAAATTGTTCTTTGACGTTCTTCTTGAATAATCAGCGAGCAAGCAGCGGAAAGTGAAGGTAACGGCTTCATCATAAGGATTTGACCACGAACAATTTTATATGAATCATTTAGCCCCATTAACATTTGAATAATTCGTTGATCTTCAAAAAATTTCTGAATCGATGCAGCAGCAGTACAGGTGCAAAGAGGAATAGCTTGTACGATCCGTAATTCATCCCAAATTTTTGTTAATTTGGTGAAATAGGTAGAAAAATCATCGGTACCTTGTGAAAGAGAAAACAATTGTTGTTGAGTGTTGTAAAGAAGAGTTCCATCGGATTGTTCAAATCGTTGATGAAGCTCATTCCATATTTCAAAAGCATTAGGTAAAAAAAGAACGCTGTCAGCGATTGTTTTGGTCAAGGAATTTAGTATCCAGATAACCATTGAATTAGCCCTGTGCCAATTCGAATATGCAGGAGAATTGATTGCAGGAGGCGTAATGGATCCATCAACAAATCCTAGTTTGTTTTTGGCAGATAAAGAGAGAATCATCGATCGTTTCCATGATTGAAATCCAATTCCATTGAAAACAATGGAAACAATAATGGAATTGGGATTATCAGAAGATCCAATGTAATATGGACTGGAAACATTGATTGCAGAAGAATCAGATGAAGTCGTATCAGACATGATTGAGTGAAGAAGAAGCAAGAATGAATAACAAAATGGATCGATTTTAATCTGATACCATATTAGATTTGAAATCTAGAGAGAGAAATATGTTTGAGAGAGAACATTTCTTTCATTAATTGAACTGAATGAAAAACTCAATACATATATACAAGAACTTAAACAGACTTGTAAAGAATAACTAAATAACCGAGACTAACAAATACTCTAACAACCAGGACACGTGTCTATGAATATTGAGTGATAACAGAGAGCACCTCAAAACCCATCGACCTTCCCAATGAAAATACAACTCACTCTGTTTATTCGAAAAGAGCTCTTGTACATTAATGGAAATGTTTTGAATACAACTTGTTGCAAGTGGAGAAAAGCGTCTGGCTTTCCACATGAAAGTTGATTTGTCTACTTGTGGAGAAGCATATGCAGAAATCAGGAACATGCGAGTTTCTGCTCACACTTGTCTGCACTGGAAAGTTTAAACAAAAATCAGCATGACAAAATTAAAATGATAGTCTAGAACAAGCCTTCACATGTTTATCCATGAATATCTCTTAGACACTTGGGGAAATGCATTAACGATGCAAATGGGACCATGTTACACACGTAAATCTTGAATATTCATTTTACTAGAACATCGTTTCATTCTAAACCATATTTTCTGTCCTTAGCCAGAATTCTTTCAAAATTTTCAATACTTAAATACCAAAGTAGTATTTCACAACAAAATCATGTTCATCAACAACAGTAGTTTACCTTCATATTAATTTTATAATTCCAGGGGGAGGGAAATGAGGTGTCGGAGTCCCATTGAAACTAATTTCAATTTCTGAAAGAGGCCAGCCAAATTTTAGAAATAAAAATGAGTTACTAAAGTACCACTGCCAATAAAAGTCAAAGTTACATGGAAAAGAGTACAAATTGTTGCAACTTCAACATCTTGGAACAGCAGATGGTCTCCTCTGCTTTTGTTCTGTTTTTAAGTCTAATCTCAAAAACAGAGAGTACAGAATAAATCAAAATCGACCCAACTTTTCTTAGGTTACAAATCTTTCCAAATCTCTCAATAAATATCAATCGCAGCAACATGCATCAAATCATCCATGAGTATATTCATTGCTAGTTTCCTCTTTAGATCGACTTGTAAAACAAAAAACATGCATCTAAATGTTCCAACTATTAGAAATCTGAAAATAGAAGCTGAATGATCTCATTAAACTAAAACAAAAATAAAGAGAGAGCACCTATAAAATTAGCAGAAATCTAAAAGTTTCACCTATGCATCAAGATTAAAATTTTAAAAATCAACCAATTCAATAATTTCATCGTATATTAAAAGATCAGTAAACAAAAGCATGATTGGTCGAGCAGTCTGCCTTTTATTGTTTATTATTAAACAAAATGAATAAAAAATGAAGTCATTTTGCAAACAGCTTGAGAGAAACCAACCTTGTATAGTAAATCACTATCCTCTTCTTCTGTTATTTTCAATGTAAGTACAAATTTCAAGTGGTTTCTTTTAAAAGAGCCAGTTAATGCCATAAACTATCAATCCATACATAACTTTATTTTAATTGTAAGTGCTACATGTATCCTCTTTTGATGCTCGATGGAGGTGAGGTTCAAGACCCATTGAATGTGATCGTTCCTATAAAATACATAAATCCAAACATAATCTTATTTTAATTCTGGATCTTCCACCAAAAAGGGAGTTGACAATTTCAATCAAAGTAAGGTGCTTTTCTTCAGCCAACAAGCTATTTGATTATTATATGGATGGTGACCATAAAACATATAAATGATATATTGGCGGATAGTACATGAAACATGTTGTAGGGAAAACATATCGCCCGAACTTTATATCCCGCCATTTATTGCCCCTAACAGAACTTGTTAATAATCATAACAATTTTTAGTGATTTCAGTAAATTAAATTGGAGTGAAAATGAACTGATTAATAATCATAACAAATTTTTGTGATTTCGTAGATTAAATTGGGGTAAAATGATCTGATTTGTATGCTTTTGTCTTGGCATCTTTAGTTGTTGGATTGGCTGGCTTGGTCGGGGTTGACTTTGGTACAAAGCTGCTTGCCTCACTTGCAAGTTGCAAAGTGTTTTGAGGTTCACAAAAGGATCCATGGGGAACGACAATGAACCTCAAATGGAGTTTCTTAGAGATGAATGGCTGTGGTCATTTCAGTAAATGTATCAATATAGTCATTGGTGACATGAAGTATGACATATAACCTCCAGGGGAGATGGAGGGATAATTTCTGGTCTTGTATTTCTGAAGCATAAACACCGAATATAGCAATGTGATACAAATACAAATAGCAACTACTTTTCATTTATTTGTTATTATAGTAATCTTCAGAAGTTTAAGGTCTTAATAAGAAAAAAAAAAAAAGGAAAGTACAACGCGATAATTGGTTAGATTAATAATCCAACTTTGTAGGGACAAAATAAACATCCTACAAATCTTTCCAAATCACTTGTCGAATACTATCAAACGCTGCACCATGCATAAAATCAGTCATGGGTGTATAATCATGACCAGTTTCCCTCTTAGATCAAATTGTAAAGTAAAAACACAAAGCATGAACTAAAAGGTCTAACTAAAAGGAATTTAAAAAGGGAAGCTCAATGATCTAATTAAACTAAAAAAGAAAACTGAAGAGAGCTCCTAAAAACCCATCGACCTTCCACATGAAAGTTGATTTGTCTACTTGTGGAAAGGCATATGCAGAAATTAGGAACATGCGAGTTTCTGCTCACACTTGTCTGCAATTGAAAGTTTAACAAAAATCAGAATGAGAAAATTAACATGATAGTCTGGAACACGCCAGTACCACTAAGAATGATGCAAGTGGGACTATGTCACATACATAAATCTTGAATATTCATTTTATTTGAATATCATTTCGTTCTAAACCATAATTTCTTTCCTTATGCAGAATTCTTTCAGAATTTTCAACAACTGAATACCCAAGTAGTATCATCACAACTAAATTATGTACATCAACAATAGGACTTTCTGATATTGGGGCAAGAACTTATCATTTATGATATACATGTTTATGCTTGGATAATCTATAAAGTCTGCTTTTTGAGTGAAAGCAAAATCTATATTTAATTTTTGCATATATTAATAAATAAACTACAAGAGGTCAAAGACAAAGGGAGGGCTTACCTGCATATTAATTTTATAATTCCTGGGTGATAATCTATTACTAATCTGTCTTGGACATCTTTGGGCAGTTGTCCCATTGAAACTGATTTCAATTTTTCAAAGTGGCCTACCAAATTTCATAAAGCAAGACGAGTAACTAAACTTAAACAACTGCCAATAAAAGTCAAAATTTACATGATAATTGACATTTTCAAATGGATAAAGTGATTAGAAATACATTATTCTAAAAAAACTCATGTATGGTGATTCACCATTTGAACATATTCATAATTTGTTTGTTTGTACTTTCTAATCATTAGTACAAAGATGTCAAAATCTAACTTCTACAACATCACCAAATAACACAAATTCTACGATCGATCCTAATTCACAAATTACTTCAAATTTTTGAATCTGCTATTTTTCTTAAAAACTTGAAGTATTTATACTTGTACTTCATGGTGGGCTTCCCATGTACACAACTTCAATCGTATTCAATAGCTACGGAAAAAAAAATTTGAATGTCCATGTTAGCAAACCATATATTGGCCCGCAAAAAATATATTTATTATATGCATGCTTGTGGTTGATAAAACGTTTGAATTTCGTTGACTGAAAACAAAGCAAAATCAATTATCATATTTATAAATTATCAAAGGCAGAGGGAGAAGCATACCTTCAGATTAAGTTTGTAATTGCTCAGGATATGTTGGTGTCGGGAATACATGAGACGAGGGGCCAGTAGGAGCCTCTTTTAATAATCCTTTCTTTCAGATTTGGGCATCCCCTTATTATCAAACTCAAAAGGGAAGGCAGCAACATTTCTGGCAGATCAATTATCTTTGGGCAGTCGTAAATGTGGAGATGCTGGAGGGAGGTGAGGTGTTGGAGTCCCATTGAAGCTGATTCCACTTTCTCGAATTCATGTATTTCAAGAGAAGTAAGAGATGAAGGAAGAAGATGGGACATCTGACTGAAATTACTCACATCATCGGACTGTCCACCCCTTAAAATTAGTTTAACAAGTGAGGTTGGAAAAGTCTGTGGGCCCCACTTTGAAATGGGCTTCTTCAACCCCCCTATTTCAAGCCAACACAATTTTGGAGGCCAAAGCCCACGAGGAAAGGAATCATCAATACTTTTACAATTTACTATTCTCAATTGTGTTAGCACATTCAGTTCTGGCAACTCGTGGTCAGGAAATGACTCCATATTTGGACAATTGATTATATCAAGACTCCTGAGGTTATTGAAGGAACTCAATTCAGTGATCGATTTAAGATTTGTCCAAATAGATATACGTACATATTCAAGCATGAGTAGATTTGAGTTGATCAGAGGCTTCTCTCGTCCTCCTACCAACTCCTTTTCCAATAATTTTTTACAAAGCCCGATGGTAAGTGACTTAAGGCTATTTGGACAGCTGCAATGCTCCAAGCTTTTACAATTCCATACGGCCAAGGTTGTAAGAGATGGTAGGTTGCTCCCACAATTATCCTCCTCTTTCTCTCCTAATCTCACCAAATTTGAACAATTATTTACAAACAACGTCCTTAAATTCACAAGAACCTTACTTGCCTCTGCTTCTGATTCCCACAAGTATCTTATTTCATTACACTCTTCAATGTTGACTTCTTCAACTGCCCCAAGATACTCTATAACACCTCCCCACACCTGATCATTAAGTCCTGAAATATCACTTATCTCCAACTTGGTGATCGATGAAGCTACACGAACCAGACTTCCTAACACCTCATGACTGCACCCACTCATCCATAGAACCCTCAGTGAAGGTAATGCTTCAACTGAGACTCTAACCAAATTAGGACAACATTCGATACAAAGCTCCTGAAGGCATGGAAATGTTGTATCCACAAGTACCCCATTATTATTGGTTGACCATGCCTCCCACCCTTTCATAGAATAAAAAGATAGTTTTTCAAGTTTTGGGAATGCAAGACCAGTCCCAAGCAACTCCGGACCCACAACTTTTACCTCATCCATCCCTCCAATATACAACTCCTTAAGTGACGGTAGCTTCCCAAGTAGCGGTAGAGATGTACACTTTTTACAACCGCTTATCTTAACATGAGTCAGCCAAACAAATGAGGGATCCCCAACCCAACTTGGAAACTCTATACCTCCATATGACACAATTTTCAGTTCTTTTAGAGTATCACTACAAGGCTTCAGCACATTCAGGACCTCCTTTTCAAGTGTTTCCTTTCGAGAACCATCAAATTCATAACTCCATTCCAACTCTAACTCACTTGGACTCTTTTCAGATAAGTTCGCTTCCTGTGCATGCATTGAGCCTTGCACTTTTTCCAGCCCCTTAATGGTAATTTTCCCTTGGAGAGCCTTTAAATCTTTAAGCTCAGATATTGAAAATCCATTGTCTCCTCCAATAGCGACCCCATACAGAGTTTGTAGGCTTTTCAACTCAAGAATCCCTAACGGCATTTTCTTCAGATATGGAGTATCCCTCATGTCAAAATGCCGCAAATTTTTAAGCTTTTTGAAGCTGTTGGGCAACTTTTCTAGACTACGACAACCAGAAACAATCAATGTCTGTAAATTATAAAGGTTGCACACATTTTCGGGTAAATGTGTGATTCTGGTTCGAGATAAATTAAGATAACGCAAGTGCTTTAAACTACCAATGGATTCAGGTAACTCACTTATACTAAGATGACACAAACTGAGGACCCTTAACAAAGGTAACTCTTGAAGTAAGTCATCAAGGACCTTATTTGATAAATGAAATGTTCTCCAACTTTTTTTTTTCCCAGCATACACTGCTAAGAATGTTCTCAAATTTCCAGCTCCTTTGAATGCCTCGAACCTTTTGTAAACCATGTACCCCTCACAAACCAATGAGAAATGGCGGTGCTTTTCCAAAGCTTCCTTCCTAAATTCCCTCTTCATCTCAATCTCTAACCTTGAAAAAAAATCTCCTGCCACAGATGTTGCCAAGTCATTCATGATATCATGCATCACAAACAATGATTTGTCATCAGGTGCATGCTGAAAAAATGATCTTGACAACAACTCTTCAAAACCTTCATGGCCCAAGCGTTCCATCGACTTGCTTGTGGTTGATTGGTGCAAGAACCCTTCTGCCATCCATAAAAGAATCAACTCCTCCTTATCGAACACATAGTCTTTTGGGAACAAGGAGCAGTATGCAAACAACTGCTTCAAAGAGGCAGAGAGATCATTGTAGCTTAGTCTAAGAGCCGGAACAATCTCATCTCCCTTTTCAGACCCCCATATCTCACTATTCAGCACTTCCTTCCATTCTTCCTCGTCTGTTTTTGTCCTCAACAATCTCCCAAGTGCGATCAAAGCCAATGGCAAACCACCACACTTTTCGATAATACCTTTGCCATGTGGTTTTAGTGTCGGATGTGAGTCAAAGTTACTTTTCCCCAAGGCATGTTGACAAAATAAAGATAGAGCATTGTCACGTGACAAAACAGAAAGACGGTAAGGTTGATCGTAACCCAATTGTGTCAGCAATGACTGCTTCCGGGTCGTCATGATAATTTTACTTCCGGCTGCCCCTGAAAGAAATGGGCGTTCCAGAATTTCCCAATCTGCATAGCTTTCACTCCAAACATCATCAAGAACAAGAAGAAATCGTTTCTTTGAAATTTTCTCTTTTACAGCTACTTGAAGGAGGTTTAAGTCCTTAAATTCTTGGTTTCCACCTCCTATCGATTGGAAAATAATTTTGCTTATATTGAATATATCAAACTCATCGGAAACACAAACCCACGCCTTGAGTTCGAAGTGATCCTTCTCTTGCATCTCGTCATACAAAAGTCTAGCTAGAGTGGTCTTACCCACCCCACCCATACCAACTATTGGCACGATGCTAAAGTTTCTATCGCTTGGTTCATCCTCCAGCAGCTTATGGAGCAATGCATCCTTATCACCTTCACGACCAATAATGCTAGATGCATCTACCAAAGAGGTCTGTAATCTTCTGTTTGTATGTTTTGGGCTTTCACCTTTCACACTTAAACCAAGATTATCTTTTTCCTCTACCAGTTCTTGTAACTTGGTGGTAATAGCATCTAACTTGCTATGTATACTAGAATTATGTGAGAAATTTGTGCAACAAGTTGGGATTAGCTTTCTTACCAAGCTGGTGGAGGCTCCAGATTCGTCGGTCAACTCACGATGCATAGCTTCGGTTGCCAAATCATCAAGTAGGTCGTCTATGTCGTAAGCCAAATGTTGGAGACCATTCAGCCATTCTTTAACAGCTTCATCACTTATTTCCTTCTGAGAAGCATCATTAAGCACAGCTCTGATCTGGATTAATAAACCTCTTCAGTTTCTTGAGCTCAGAATCAATTCCCCTGGAGCGAGCGATCTTCTTCAAGGCTTCAGAGGCCAGCTTTTCAAAGACCACTGTCAAGAAGGCAGAAAGAACGATTTCAGCCATTGTTTATGGTAAGACCAAAGAATATAATAGAGATCTGGATGAAAGGATGAACAGAGAGAATGATTTCAATAATTGTTTATAGTAGAGATATGGACAAAATATATGTACAGGGAGAATAATCTGAATTATTGTTTATAGTGGAGATGTGGATTGAATCAATGTACACCACAATTTTGTGGCCCCAAAAGTTGCAAGTTGCAATTGTCCAGATACACAGTTTTTAACTAAAAGGAAAGTAACTAGAAATATATATTTACCCAAATCATTATATTTTGAAGTTTGTTTACAAAAGACATAAAAGTTACTTTGACCCAAATTGTATACCAATAAATAATAGAACAAGTTGACTGATGTTTCTGCAATGGTCACCTTCTTCTCCTACAGTTATATTGCTCAAATCGAAGTTAGCTTTCCATTCTTTGATGGGTTTTCATCTTCCAAACCATTTGAGCTTAAAATGGGTTTTCATCTTCCAAACCATTTGAGCTTAAATTCAAGCACATGAAGATGGAGAGGTTCCCATCTGCATCATCGTTGTTATAGCTTAGTAGCTTACATCGAAGCAGGTAAAATTTTGGGGTGAAGAAAATTCAAATTATGTTAGTGTTCCAGAAAGAGATGAATCTTAGAGACCAAACCACCTTCATTGCAACAATACCAGTTCAATTGCAGAGAACACGAGCTTATGCCTGTGTTGCTGCCGTTGATGTGGTATTTAATGGCAGAAAAGAAAGAGACAATATTAAAGAGCAGATTATCGATGCTGACAAATGGTGCCATGAACGAGTATTTTTAAGCTCTTTTCATTCTCAGAATGTAAGTTACAGATAAAGGGAAGTGGTTAGATCAAGTTGAGTATATGCATTGAACGAAACCTAAATCGATATTTAAGAAGAAAAATTGTGAGGCCTGACTATAATTATGGCCTAGTTATATACTTTGATGCAGATTGATGTATAATTGTTCATGGTTCTCATATAAAAGTTCAGTAAATCAATCGATTGAAAAATTGAAAACGTAGAATCTTATATTGTCGGGAATGGCAGCAGACGGACCGGGAGACATAGACCGCATGCTTCTTACCTCCATCTTCCTCTTGCTAAACATAGGAGCAACCTGCGCTGAAGCATGTGGCGAGCACAGAGGTCGATTCGCCGGGGTGGGAACAAAAATCGTCGGAGAAAATGGGGAATGACAGGAAGCTGGGAACAAGGACACAATGGTCCATTTTTTTAGTGTAAATAACAAGAATGGTCCCCGTGGTTATTTAGTCTTTTTGAATCAAGTCCAACTTTTTAAAATTTAACGTTCATTATAAAGTTTTATTTGTATTATATATAGTCCCTAAGGTTAGCATGGATAATATTTTATTATTAACACCAAGGTGATCCATTGTTTTTACTATCCAGAGACATAAAAATTTTATGCCCTTATATATAAAAAAACTAGTTGTGAGATTCATGTATTACATGGGTTAAATTAAAAAAAAAAAAAGTTAAACATAAATATCAAAATATTTGAGAATTTTAAATTTATAAGAAAATAAGAAAAATAATAAATTATTGTAATGAAAATGTTTTTATCTTTTAAATTTAAATAAATAAACTAAACTAATTAGTTTTAATTTTGGGAATTTTAAAAATAAAAGGTAAGTTCATTAATGAAATTAATTTCCATTTATTACTACATTTATTTTAATTATTACATTAAAATATTATGTGAAATTTAATAAAATAGAAAAACTCATAAAATGACATGTGGAACAAAATTAATTCAAAATAACCACAAAATGACATTTGGAAATTGAATGAGAGTGTGACAAGTGACAAAAAAACCTTTATTTATTAGAGAGGATTTACAAAATAAAAAATGAAGTAAATTTTATAATCAACCAAATAATACAAACAAAAACATACAAGAATCACCTAAAACGATGTATTTGTGTATTTTTTTTGAAGCAAAAACATCTCTTATTTTAAAATAATCAATATTTTGCTGCCTCTAGAAGTCGGAAATCTTATTAGAAAGAATCCTTAGGCAGCAACGCGAAAAATATAGTTCCTGCTTCACATCACATAAACAATAACACAAAGGTTTAGAAAAGATGTTTAGACAAAATATATTGAACACAAATAGATTCGAAATTTAACTCACCAGAATCTTAAAATCTGATTTCTAAAAAGGCATATACAAATCGGATTTGGAGAAAAACATTTGAAACAACATATACAAATAGATTTTGAAATATACAAATCTAATTTCTAAAACAACTCAAACTTGGAGAAAACAATAGAACTCACCCAAATTTGCTTACAGAAACAACACCCAAATCAGATACAAAATCCAATAAGTAGGAAATAAATCAGATTTATGAAACAAAACCAAATAAACACAGATTTCAAATGAACTCACCTAAATCTACTTTTAGAAACAACAAAACCCACATCTAATTTATGCAACAGTGAAAAAATGATACAAAAATGAAAAATCTAATAAGTTTATGGGGCTTTCACTCTTTTGTCTTGTAATCAAATATAGTAGAAATCAGATAAATAAGAAATTAATCTGATCTCTGAAACAAAACCCAAATCGAATGAACTCGTTGAATAGTTGGAATCTCAGTCTAATATCTTTTGAAATTAGGAAAGTATAGAAACTCATCGAAGATAAAGGCTTCGATGCTACTTGTTATTTTGAATCTCAACTCTTTTCAAGTTAAATCGATGAGTCTCATAATCTCATTCCATTTTTTGAAAATAATCTATGAACACAAGTTAAATAAGAAATTAATCAGATTTATGAACAAACCTAAATTTCGAATGAACTCACCTAAATTTAATTTTCTGAAACAAGAAACAAATTACAGCCAAATCAACGAATCACTAAATCAGAACTTGATAAGCAAAGATTACAGAAAATCGGACCTTAAAACCGCACTAGATTAGAGAAATCGCTGATATATCGAGCCTAAATATCAAATGATAAAAAAGAAATTGAGATTTGAGAGCTATTTGTTATTGATTTATCGACTAAAAGTGAAAAATAACTATTTCACAACTAAAATCATATTGGTCAACAATAGCACTATCTGATATTATGACAAAAACTTTTCGTTTATGGTATACATACTTATGCTTGGATAATCTCTAAAGTCTGCTTTTTGAGTGAAAGCAAAATCTATTATCTAAATTATCCATATATTGGCTTCTAAACTACAAGAGGTGAAAGACAGAGTATAGCTGTATAGGGCATACCTTCATATTAATTTTGTAAATCCCAGGGGATATGGGAGATTAGGGGCCAGTAGGAGCCTCTTCTATTACTCTTTTCTTTCAGTTCTAGGCATCCATAGATATTGTTAAACTCCAAAGTGCAAGTGTTGTGACATCATATGGCCTCCCCTGTTTGTGTTCTGTTTTAAGTTCTGGGCATCCATAGATATTGTTAAACTCTTTTCTTTCAGTTCTGGGCATCCATAGAAACCGTAGAATAAATCAAAATCAACATATTTAATGAAACCTCCATACACTTAATCAATGTCATTTTAAATAATACGTTCTAATGAGTTCAGTTAGTATTACTCATAGGTTTAATAAATCGTTGAACAAAGAGCATAATAATTGACATTTTGAAATGGGTAAAGTGACAAGTATAGCTATCAGGAAATAAATTATTCTAACAGTTTCATGTATGTAAAGTGATTCATCATTGAACATGTTCATATTTTTGTTTGTACTTTATTTAAATATTAGTACAAAGATTTCAAAGTCTAAATCGTACAACTTTAAAGAATAATACACAGTCTATTATCAATCCTAATTCACAAATTATTTTAGGATTTCGAATCTGCTATTTTTTCTTAAAAAATTGAAGAATTTATACTTGTTATAACCATTTTCACTTATGCTAGAATTCTCAGTGGGCTTTCCATGTGCACAACTTCAATCAGATCTAATTATCATAGTCTGAATCACTTTATTAGGTCCATCCAGATTGGAATTAAGTTTGTACTAACCTATTAAATGAATAAAATCAACCTAATATATTTTTTTTTGAACTGAAAAAATAAAGGTTACATGTTACGAACTTAGGAACTATTGTTCAAAAGGTGGAAGCTTTACCATTAAACCAATATAGACATTTAAAATTCAATCTAATATGAAAACGGTTGCACATGTACATGCTAATATTATTGTTGATTGATATAGATAACCAAATTGATTGGTTTTGAAATGTTTCCCACCACCTAAGCAATATCCAGCATCTTTTTCAATCAACTAAATAAATGCAACAACGGTATTTTAGCATTATATGGCTCTAAAATTCGTAAATATGGGCACTTTTTATACATTTCCAAGCATAGATATTGATATATCCCATTTTGCAGATACAATTGGTCCTGCTGATGTTGGGATGAAAAATAAACACCAAGAGGATGATCGAGGCCATGATTCTTCTGCTCCCAATATTCTCAATAGACTAGATTGTTGGGCCCAATCAATAACATATATAGATCCAAATACAAGCAGAAGCTTTACAGTAAGCCCACTTATTGCTTAAAGAAGATGATTTCAATGATCATCCAAGAATGATTGTGTCACACCCCCAAACCGGAACGGCGGAAACGTTCGGGGGTGGATGACTTCATATACAGTATCACAACAATGTATAATAGTAATCAAAGTACAACATCCATTACATTGATAAAATATAATTATACATTCGTGTTCAAATCCCTGTATACTTGACACCAAAAAGTATAATTAAAAGACATTACTAAATGAAACTTTGTCTTCCTCAAAACATGTGGGTACCTATTTATCGATTTCCTGAAAATACTAGTTTTGAAAAGAGTGTCAACAATTAAGTTGGTAAGTTCATAAGCATGTTTGTAACTGGAATCTGTTATTTGTTCCTTTGAAAATGTAAGTATGTTTTCCCCAGAAAATCTTATATTTTCTGCTATATATGTATTTGTGTTCTGAAATAGTATGATATAG